GTAGGGCCTTATAAGGTCATCCAACGTGTGGGGAGTGTAGCCTATAAGTTGGAATTACCGCCGAGTTTATCTCGAATCCATAATGTGTTTCATGTATCTATGCTTAAGAAATATCATCCGGACACTTCTCATGTCTTACAACCGGAAAATGTTGAGATTGATGAGACTTTAACCTATGAGGAGAAACCGGTTAAACTTCTGGATAGGAAGGTAAAGGAATTGAGGAATAAACAGATACCATTAGTGAAGGTCCTCTGGAAGAACCATGGGTTGGAGGAAGCAACTTGGGAGGTCGAAGAAGCAATTCGAGAAAAGTATCCAGACTTGTTCATCAATCAAGGTAAATTTCGAGGACGAAATTTCTTAAGGGGGGAGAGGATGTGAGGATTCGAAAATTCCATTATTTTAAAATCCCTAATTTTGGCTAAATAATTATTTATTTGGATTTTTGCCACGAATAATATTTTCTAACCTATTAGACCTAAGTACATGATTTTATAGTTCGTTATATTTCTAAAGTGACTCATTTTAAAAATAATAAAATAAAAATATAGATGAATAAACAAATATTTTCTTATAAGCCTATTTAGCGAAAAATGGAAACGTGTCTAAAAACTTTAGCCATTTGGAAGTACAATAAGCTAAAAATTTAAGACATATACAATGGTCCTAAAATAGACAATTTTAGGTTTAAACACACAAGTAATAACTAGTGGTACGATCGTTATAAGAATTTCTCAAAGGTTTTAATTTTTATTGCGCCTAAATTAGAAATACGTGTTTTCACGTGCGCGCTTAATTGAGGGACTTTGGACCATTATTTTGGGACAATTAAGAATGAATAATATTTATATGAATGTAAGGGCCCTAGAGGTTTAGTGCACTAGTGCAACAAACATAAGAGAAATCGGATACAAAACGCGCGTGTAGGGTACTAGTTAAAATTGATTTGACGTATCAAAGGATTTGACGTCAAGCGTCTTTTGTACGCAAAGGCTACAGAGCCGAAATTCATTTCCTTTTCTCTGCTACAATGGCCGGCTAGACTGCAGCAAAGGAACAACCAAAGTCACCATTTCTTTTCTTCTAAAACTCAACAAAATTCCTACCAAAACTTCCGTAGATTCTCACCGAACTTCACATTCGTTTAGCTTTTTACTTGGACAACATCTTAGGCTGGAAAAGGGAGGAGTTTCACGGCTGTCTTCAGGCTTCATAGGGACCGAAATTTTCTGATCTGAGCAGCCATCAAAGTAGGTAACAATCTAACACCTTCAACTTGTCTTATGGAAGTTGATTTACGCATTTGAGTTGGAATCTTTACTTTAGTAGCTTGGATTGTTGGAAATGTGGGCTCTATGAACTCCCACTTTGGATTGATGGCTGTGATGATGTTTGATGATGGTTTATTTGCTGAATTAGAGCTTAAGGAAGTAGATTAAAGGTGCATTCTTGACAGAAACGTTGTTTAACTCTTGAAACAAAAAATTCTCATTTTACCCCTGCTCTGTTCGGTCACTTTACTGCAGATAATTGAGGATTTAAAGGCTTGATTATGTTGTTTACATGTTGTAGAAGTTGTGTACAAAATTTTGTTGAAAAATATTGAGTTTTGGTTGCTCAAACTAATTTATTTCAAAAACTGGTAATCTGGAAAACCGTTTCGCCGTAATCCAGACCAGTGGTTGTATTTTGTCCATAACTCCGTACTCCGATGTCGAAATCAAGTGCCGTCAGCGGCATTTGAAACTAGACGTTCCCATGTTTCCAACGGTGTATAATGCACATTCTGGTTTCATGTGTGTGAGCCACACCATTCATCTGAAGTCGACTGTCCTGTTTCTCCGTTCTGCCGAAATGATTTGATGATGCTGCAACTTGAGGCTTGATTTTGAACCAGTTGCATGCCGAAAATTGTAACGATTTCTTCTGTGAAGTTGTAGCCCTATGAATTTATTTTCCAACACTATCAACCATTCCCAATTCCGAGTTAAATTGAGAGAGTTATGATCAAAATACGGCGACTGCTCGTTTTGAAAATCTTAGATTTGGACAGATTGCCTTAAGGATTTTTCCAAACGTTGGTTGATTGAATGACCCCCCTCCCGAGGGTATTTTTCTGTGAAATTTGATAGAGAGATAACCTTCATATGGAAGTATTATACTGCAAAATTTGGTGTCAATCCAAGTCCGTTTCGGCACTTAAATAAAGGTCCAAAGTTGGAACCAAATCTGGAAATTTTGTAACAGTCTTGAATTTTTCCCAACTTTGAGCTACCATATCTTGGTGCTCGAAACTCCGATTCTCGATCCGTTTGTTCTGACCTAAACCTTACTTGCACCTCTAATTGAGCTATAAATTTTAAGGGCTGGTTTGCAACGAGTGAATTCTGCCGAATTTTCAAAGTTAGCGAAAAACCAACCCCGGCTCAATCCTGGGTGATTTGGAACAGCAACCTTAGCCTCATTTTTGAGCACTTTCCACTTCGATTCATGGAAAAGTGTCTTCTAGGAACTTGCAGTACTTTCTAAGAGGTTTTCAACGGCATAAAGTTTTCCAATTCTTGACTTATGCCGAGTGAGTTACGATTTTTCAAAGATTCATAACAAAACTGAAATTTTTCCAACTTTCAAGGAAATAGAGTTTTTCAAGAACTCTTTATTCTTTTGATATTATCGAAACATTTTATCCCCGATTTCCTAGATAAAGACTTAAATATTGTTGAATGTTATCAAACCTCTCTCGAACCTCGATTTACGAGTAATTGAGGTTCATTTTCACGGAATTTCCTAGAGTAATACTAGTAAACGAATTATTCCTCGATATTTGGGATATGGGTGATAATTCACTATTATTTGCTCAGGCACGCACGAGGACCTCCAAGAGGACCCTACTGTGGAAGTTTGAACTCTTCCTCCAATTTACTTGCTTGCATAACTTGGTGAGTGTCAAGTGTATGCCTACTTGAACCCTAAAGTCTTGATTCATGCTTTATTCACCTGATTTCATGCTTAGCTTAACTGATTTTGACAAAATGGAGTCGAGTGTGTACTTGATCGCACTCGTTCTCATTCGAAACGAATGACTCATGTTTAACATGATTTGCTTGGTTTACATGACTTGAAATGTCTGCTTAAACCTATCAAATGCTTGAATACATGAAATGGTATGCTATGATTGCATACGTCGATGGAGTGAATCTCCTCGACATTTACATGACAAATGGGGGACGCCCAAACTCATAGGCCGACCTTGGAACTCGAGCCGACATGGGCTTGGTCGGGAATCTCGGTGAGCCATGAGACTCAAATGATAAGCTTGATCTATTGAGAGATCTCGCTTGGCATACTCGTATAGTATCGCCTTATAAATGTAGTGCGGGCCCGAAGTGGTGTATGGTGGACGGATGTGAAGTAAGTGGTGTACTACGGATATGAAAATATCAATCCGGTTGACGGAGAGTCATCACGGAAAGATATATAAACGGTATCGGCAAATGTGGAACTTACCTCCTGAGAGCTTCTATATCCTTGAATTGTTTGTGGTTACAGTTTATTGGTGTTATTAATTACTTGCAAGATAATACCTGAATTGTTATTGGGCTTGTTATCTGAACTATGTGGTTGCATGTGTGTTCTTGGCCTCACGAGCGTTTTGCTCACCCTGTAGATTTGTTTTCCTTAACAGGTTGAATTCGGAGGTAAAATGGAGCAGACTCTTGATGTACTTTTGTTTTAGGGTTGCTAATACTTTTGTTTATGCCTTCGGCTTTGGATTGTACTTTTGGTATGGAAATGTAACCTTTGGACGAATTGTATTTTGTGTACTGACGTGTGGTTTGGAGAATGGTTGACTATTATTAAGTTTAAACGTTTCCTCATTTATTGTATCTAAGTTTCGGTTTGTATTGTGTGGTCCGACTATAAGTTGAATGGAATTGCTTGAGTCCTGGCGAGAGCTAGGCAGGCGTCCCGCGGATACCCTTTGGTTCGCCTTAGGGAGAAGTGGGGGCGTCACATATACAAGGGACAAACAGAGGAGACATGGATCTTTAACTGACTAGACAAAGAGTCTCAGAAACAGGAAGTATCTTCTCAAACAAATTTGGCCAGATCTCAAATCAATACCAGCAGAAAGATGATGTTCGAAATGTTTGGGCAAAATCGATACATTCAGCCTTTATATTCCCTAAAGAAGAGGATTGACCATCCCTCCACTCAAGCAAAAGAGATAGGAAGGGGACAGGCTACCAAACAAGAAATTTAGGCAGAATCTTTATCAACAAAATTGGTCATTCATGAAGTTGAGATCGAAATTGATCAAGGAGCAGCCTACAAGCATGCAAAGGATATTCTTTCAATCTATTCAACATCTGGAAAAGATCTATTTAAAATCTTTATCCAATTTATCCCAGAAACTGCTCATACTTTTTTTTTTTTACGAAACGATAGGAATATATATATCACTTGAGCCAAAAGTATTTACACCCTAGCAAAGGCTCGAAACATACACTGTGCATCTAGCACAATAGACTGGGATTAACCCATTCTACATCTTGATAACTGCTCAAAGCTTGAGCATAGAAATAAACACTAAGATCATTACTATTGTCTATGTCTAGGTAAAAGGAGCATTTGTAAAACATGGAGCTCAGCTCACGAATATCTTGTATCACAGTTGCTATTCTTCCAGCCATTGGTTTTGTTCGCTGGATTTGCTGAAGCAAACTTTTGTCAGGAACTCCTATGTTAATCAGTCGCCAACCTTGTTCTGCTGCCTTAATTTGGGCAAGTTTGACACCTTCAACCAAGTGTTGGAGATGGTTGTCCACTGCCCTTTCTCTCATAGACCAAGCCATTAGTTCCCGTTGTCTTCCATCACACGCTACAATACCATACCCAACAACTTTGTCCTCTTTGCTCCATTGCACTGCAATTCGCATACTAGTTCCTAGGGCTATGGAGTGCTCTTGCTGCTCTTCCTCCTGTTCCCTGTGTTGCTAAGCTACTACTGGTTTCCCAATGCTCCATTTCCTAGCTTTCCCTGCTGCATTTTCAAACTCACACCATGCATTGCATGCTTTGTTTACAACTGTAGTTGGATCCGTACCTTTGTTGCTGAAAACCTTGTTGTTCCTACTTTTCCAAATCTGCCACAAGATATATGTCGTGAGGCCTATATGAGCTTTCCCTTGAACCCTACTTCTAGTTTCAGAAACTGCTGCCCACCAATCTTTGAATTTATCCGACTTGTGTTCGATACCATCCCAGTGGATAGGAGCTAGTTTCCAGATGTCCTTAACTTTGCTACATTTAAGTAACATATGTTCCAGTGTTTCCACTTCTTCTCCACACATTGTGCATGTAGGGTCTCCAACTTTGATTCTTCTCCAAATCAGTTCCTTGACTGGTACTGCATCCGAGAGACCTTTCCATATAAACATCTTGACTTTGTGGCTGATGTTTAAGCTCTAGAGTACCTTCCACACTTGCTGTCTTAGTGAACTACGGCTCGATTCTGCTCCCTCACTTTCTTTCCTAGTCTCTTCCTTCCTCCTATTCCTTGCCATTTTGTATCCTGACTGTACAGTGTACTCCCCATTTGGGTTCCCTATCCAGAAAGTATTATTGTCTCTTCCCGTAATGCTGATAGGAATTTTCAAAATATTATCTGCATCCTCTTTGCAAAAGGTCTTGAAGATGAGAGGTTTATTCCACCTGTAATGACTAATCAGGTCAGCAACTTTGTTAAGCATGCATTCTTGTGGTTTGGTAGTGACTGGTTTCCCTTTGGAATTGTTTGGAATCCATTGGTCATTCCAAATACTGGTTTTCTTCCCATTTCCTATTCATCTTCTCAATCCCCACCAAAGGGTCTCTCTGCTGCTCATTATGCTTTGCCAGAACCATGATGCATTCTTAGGAACTATGCACTCCTAGATGCAGCTCTTAGGAAAATACTTTGCCTTTAGCACCTTGCTAGATAACAGGTTTGGATTTCTGATGATTCTCCAAATCTGTTTGGCTAGCAAGGCTCTATTAAAGTTTTGTAGATCCTTAAAGCCGAGGCCTCCTTTTTTCTTCTCCTTGGTCATCTTCTCCCATGCCACCCAATGTATTTTGTTCTTGCTATCTTGCTCTCCCCACCAGAATTTTGAGAGTAGAGAGTAGATATCTTTACATAACCTGCATGGCAATTTGAAACAAGACATAGTGTAAGTAGGCATAGCCATTGAGACTGCTTTGATCAAGATTTCTTTCCCAGCTGAGCTTAGCAATTTGGATTTCCAACTTTGCATTCTGTGTTCAATGTTGTTCTTCATGAATCCGAATATTTGCTTCTTTGTTTTGGTGATCACCATTGGGAGTCCCAAGTATTTCCCTTGGGATACCTGTTGAATTCCTTCCAGCTTGCTGCATACTTCCTCCCTTGTTCCAGAAACTCATACAAATATCTATTTATTAAACTTACTTTTCAAATCTCCAGACCAATCAGAAAACCAAAAAGCTAGGATTGGACAATCCTTCCTTATCCCATTTAAAAATAAAAAAAACCACCTTGATTAATACCATATCAAACGTCCAAGGGTCTTCTACCCTAGACAAACCATATTCAAACCATTTCTTACAAAATTACACTCCTAATCAAGAAAAAATCCAAAGTTTATACCATCTTCAAATAATCAATTCTGATATTTTTAGAATAAGATCCAATATCCTTCTACATTTATACAAAATAGACAGTATCTTTGGATAGAACATAGATGGAAACAATATTCTTACAATATCTCAACAGATGACAACCACCGGTTACAATCAGCAAGTTGCTCATATCCTATTCATAAGATTTATTAAGCAATTCCAAAAATGGTGGGAAGAACATCTCATCATAGAAGACAAAGAAATTATTCACAACATCCTCATCGCACCTGAATTATAAGACAGGAACATCCTCCCAAAAATAGTGGTATTCAATATTATATCTATCCTAGATATATCCACATCTAATGATTCAGAGCTATTCCCAAACTCCAGTGGATATCAACATATATTCTTAACAAAGCCAGACAAAACCAAGGTTCATGGGAAAGATTTCCTCATAGGCTTTCTCAAATCTCAACACAAGAAGATTAAGCCTTGGGAGGAAACAGTTTATGGACAAAACCACCAACCAGGCTGGTTTCCCAAAAACCCTGCAGAAGAACCAGCCCGTGATGGACCCCTTTACAAACAGTTTGGGCTATCTAGCTACCATACAAAACCCAATAAATAGCCCGAAACTATAGAAAGTCTAGAAAATCCTTTCTCTCCTACAAAACAACCAGTCTCATCCGCCTTCAAAACCCATAAAGCTAAACATATAGCCCAGTATTCCAAAACCAAACAAAAATCTAATATCTTAGAACTAGTAGGACAGATCAAAATCCAAATGCCAAATCTTCGGATCGAATCAAAACAAGAAATTACTATGGTGAAAGTTAATTATTTACCACAATGATTAACTAACCATGCTAAATACTTGCACAGATGCCTTGGCACTTTGTTATGGCAAATAATACGGTGGTAAGAAAAAAATTTAATACCATGAACATCAAAGCTGTGTTAAAAAAACCACTTTTTCACATGGATTTGGAACCATGTTAAAAGAAAGTGTCGTAAAAGCTCTTTTTATTTTTTTCGTAAAACGTGTTGATTGCATTGCCATGAGAAATTAACATTTCCCTATCCATAATTCATGTTATCATCCATCACACTTTTTGCCATAGTTGCAAAAATAATAGATCATAATATGAAAGCAACAGTAGAAATTATAGTGTTAAGCAATTTAGAAGGAAATTAACATTAACAAAAGTAGTGATAAGCTTGCATACCTTGCTCATTTTCTCTTTGTTGTGGCTCTTCTTGGAGTTTTAGCAGAAGGGTTGTGTTCATTTGCTTGCTTGGCGGTGCTTTGGGTGGCTGTCTTTTCAACATTCATAGTATGCTGCATCTCCAGATATTGAGTTGCAACAAGAAAGGCCAGATTCTTTTTACTTTACTTGTTAATGTTGGCTCCATATGAATTTGGTATTTTGGGTAAATTTTACTATAGTAATATATGTGAAATTTATTTTTATTGTAGATAGTTCATTTGGATATAGTGCTTTTAAAGTTGTATTTTCAAGTGTTTTTAGGATTTAAAATATTTTTTGGATTTTTTTTTATAAATCTGTTAAAAATTTCCTATCACCAACCACCACTACCACTACCCGCCACCACCGCCAGCAGCCACCTTCCCCTCCATTCATCTCTCTCTCTCCCCTCTCCATCCCTCTTTTCCTCCCTCTTTTTTCTCTTCCTTTCCTCTTCTCTCCTCTCCCCCTCATCCTCCTTCAACTAGCCCCTCTCTCCACGCTCACTCTTACCTTGCCTAGGCCCCTTTTTCCCCTCTCCCTTACCCTACTCAGCTCTCCTTCCCCCTTCCTTTCTTGGTGACCTTTGGTAGAGTGACTAGAGTGGGCTATGCAGTCAGATTTGGTCCTTGAGGAAGGGGGAAAAGAGAGGGGTTGGGCGGGGTAAGGGAGATGAGGGAGAGGAGGTGACTGGGGAAGCAGGAGGAGGAAGATGGGGGAGAGAAGGGGAGAAGAGAGGAGAGGAGAGAAGGAGGGGAAAGAGGGATTAGGAGGAGGAGGAGGAGGATGACAGAGAGACATAGAGAGAAGAGGGGAGGGAAGGGTGGTGGCCGGTGGTAGCTGCCTGGTGTGGTCCAATGTTGGGTGGTGATAGTTTGTAGAAAAAGAAAGAAGTTTAGGGTTTATTTTATTTTGTTTTTATTTTTTTACAGTAGTTGAGATTTGTGTTCTTAAAGTTTGTTAGCGTAGATCCCACAAAAACAAAAATAGTTTGTGGGAAAAATAGCAAATCCAAAGAGAGCCGAAGTTTTTGTGGATGTATAAGCAGAAGTTTGAGTAATTTCATCAGGCAGATTGTTAGTTTGGAGGAATAAAAATTTGAATCTGCTTGGTGGAGTAAAAATCTGCTTGTCACCAGTGATATCTATCCGGGAAACATCTTCAAGCGCCTATTTCATGTCTTCATCAGCAGTCCTTAGACTAAGACGCATCAGTTTCTTGCTCGTATAAGCTTAACAGTGCTGTGCCACTTGCTTATTTGCTCCTGGAAATCTTTGACATGATGGCGAACAGAGCAAAAATGGAATGGTTCTCAAAAGCTGCTGCAAGCTAACCTTCCAGTGAAATATCCCTTTTTTTTAACTTGTAAATGAAGAAGAAACATGTTATATGGTATGTACTATAATCTAAAATAGCATCAAACTTAACAATGATTATATCATCTTATTATGCCTTGTTCAATTTAATGTTTCTGATTTGCTTTGTTATCATAGCAAAGATTTATTGCATAGTAGTGTAATGAGTGTATGATTTGGAATTTTTATATGATAGACAACTAGGGTGTTAGTTTTCAAGAATGTTCTTTTGGAAATATATTTTTAGCAAAACTCCATAGTTAGCAACAACAACAACATCCAGAAACTTGAGATTTTATCTGCACAAGACTTTGCATAGTTAATCATTTAAATTTTCATGATCTTCTTTAAACTAAAAAGTAAAGAATGGAATCAATTTTTTATAATCTGGAGAGAATATTGCTGCATTAACCCCTCCGGTATCCTCCAATAATATGATTTCTATTTGGCATCTACAATGATTTGGATCAAATTTTTTATGCTGGTGATATGTAACATATAATAGTAGGTTATATCAAATTTTTTAGTATGAACCGTCTTTCAAAACTCTAGTTGTATACCTTACCTAACTTCAAATTGTGTCGCCTTTGCAAGATGGACATGTGAAATACTCTATGTTCCAGGCCATACCAGATTATGGAAATTTTGTAGGCAGTGAACTAGTGCCCTTGTTGTTCTGGAATTCGCATTGTGATTTCTATTGCCCAAGTTGTCATCTTTTGCTCAGTGGAAGTATCGCAATACTATATTAATTGAAAACTATAAAGTAGCACGTTATTAGTGAAAAATAGTGCTTTGATCAGTACAAACCTCTGGTATTAAGACTAAAGCAGTTTAGACATCAATTACGTTTTCTTTGTTAGGAAATGGGGACAGCTTATCTGAATCATTATAAGCTTTCATCCCAACCAATTCCTTTATGTCATCCTTTTATTTTCTTTTGTGAGCTCCTTTTATTCATCTTTGTTAGCATTGTACCTGAAAATATACATTGCAAGTCAAAATTGCAGGCAACAGAAAACTTAACATGATAGGACAATTATGTCAAGATATTTATTGTTGCTATTAAAAATTATATTTTACAGACTGTATTTATTAGTCCTCTAGCATCATCTTTTCATGCAATAGAGGAATAAAGGATTAGGCAAGAAGATATTCTTGTGGTAAGACAAAGACCTGGACATTCAGCATTATTCT